TGACAGCAGGCGGGCCAGGTGTCTTGCGTAAGACTCCCTCAGCGCATTAAGATCTACAGTTGCATGTTTCTCCGTCCACCACCTCCCTCTCCTCCTCCTCCTCCTCCTCCTCCTCCTCCTCCGCCTCCTCCTCCTCATTATCATCATCATCAGCAGCATCATCATCATCAGAATCAGCATCATCATCATCAACAACAGCATCATCATCATCATCATCATCATCATCATCATCATCATCATCATCATCATCATCATCATCATCATCATCATCATCATCGTCATCGTCATCGTCATCATCAGCATCATCATCAGCAACAGCATCATCACCCTCCTCCCCATCCTCCTCCTCGCCGCCGAACGCCGCAGCGCGGCGGCGCCGACCGAAGGCTGCGGCGGCGGGGCGGGGCCCGCCGCCTGCTTCGCGGCCTGGGCCGCGCGATTCTTCTCGGCCTGGGACGGCTGCACGCGGATCGCCTGCAGGGCACCGCCAGGGAAGCCGCCGCCGCGCTGCCGCCGCCGTCGCCCCCGACCTCCAGCGCTCGAAGCCCGCGAGACTCGAGGGCTCCCGCACGCGGCCGGGAGCTCACGGAGTAGAGGGCAGCAAATCCGCCCCGATAATAACCACCCCGACGCGCGAGGCCTTTAGCAAACGCGCCCAAATCGGGGATGGACAGACCTCCCTTTAGTAAAACGTGGTTTAGTGAAAACGTTCTGAGGCCCAAACCTGGCGGGCGCAAGCCTTGAAAATAACGGCCACGGCGCCCTCTCGAAAACCGAAAACGGACAATTCACTAGTCGACGTGTCACTGTTGGGGGTTTTGTCCACCCCCGACCAAAAAAAGGAATCGAACAGGGCAGGGCTGCTCAATAAACGCCCAGGGCCGTTCAGTAAACGCCAATTGTCCGGTCCGGGTGGCTTTTCCTGCCCTGGCGGAGGGCTCCCGGCCTCCGGGTGCACTCCAGGCGCTGCGCCCCAGCGGCAGGCGTCTGGGGGGGCCCGGATCCTCCCGAGAGGCCGCCAGAGGCCCGAGCTCCGGCCTGGAGGTCACCAGGGGCCCACACCGTCGCCGCCGCCGCCGCTGCCGTGGTCACCGCCGCTGCCGTGGCCGTCGTGGCCGTCGTCGTCGTCGTCGTCGTTATCGTCGCCGTCGTCGTCGTCGTCTGTTTTCGTCGTCGTCGTCGTCTGCTTTCGTCGTCGTCGCCGCCGTCGTCGTCGCCGTCGCCCTCCTCCTCCTCCTGCTTTCACGGCCGTCCACCACCGTTATCTCCTCTCCAGCCCCTGGTCCTCCTATAGTAGATGTTTCCTCCCTATCGCACCGCCAGACGTGTCGTTGTGGCGGGCGGGGCGGTTCGCGTGAGACTTCCGTACCCCGCTCGTAGTCTTGAACTTGAGATGCCAAGCAGGCAGGCATTCAATGTCTACACAACGATGTGAAATTCGCACGGCGAGTGCAAGCGGAAGCAGCACCAGGTACGCACCTTGCGCGCGCGCTCACAAACACACACACACACACACACACAAACACACCACGAACACGACCACAAGCACACGCAGAAAATGCTGGGGGCACTAACAGCCAGAGAGACAATCTGCAAGCGGAAGCCTGGCCCTTGACCGCCTGACCGCTCAACGCCAGAGCCTTGAGAGTGGCTTCCTGAAGGTAGAACTCGATATACGCCAGCCCTTTGGACCGACCAGTCCTGGAGCAAAATGAGGACAGCAGCAGCGGAAGCAAGACGGCCAGCAGCAGCGAGTCGAATCCATAGGATGCTGGAGCCCGTCCACTCCAGTCGAAGCGTGACAGAAGCATTGACTAGGGGATTGCGAAAGCAAGAAATCAAAAGTAAACAACCACATCTTGGGTGGGGGAAAAGCAGGGAGGAGGGAGTAGGGAGAGGAGGGGGAGGAGGAAGGGAGGAGAACGAGAGAGGAGGAGAGAGGAGGAACGCGGGGACCGTCTCTTCAAAACGAGGACCCAACACCACAGGATGGTTGGGAAAAACTATCAGAGGGCGCGACGCCCTCTGAGAAGTCCTGCCGCCTTCTGAGAAGGCCTTCTCCTTCTCACTTCATCCCCTCGCTGACCGCCGACATATGATCTCTCCTATGGTATCCCGCATGCTCTCCTGTAAGCTCTCTCGTCTGGTCTCCCGATCGTACAGCGCAGCATAGTGCACTCTGTACAGTAGTCAGTTATGTTGTTTAGGGTTTTCTGCTGCCCAAGTGTACAGTCGGACCTAGGTCAGAAGAACATCTCTCAAGAACATGAGACTCTCCGTCGGCCAAAACAACCAGAACATCCCTCCCCAGGGTGCACGAGATCACCCAACGAGCACGAAGATCACCAGGGCATCCTCCCCGAACCGACCTAGATCGTATACTTCGGTCCGACTTGTGATCGAATTCGAACATGACTGAATATGTGCACCCTGCAGCAGCAGCACAGAACGGTAACATGTTGTCAAAAATAGAACTGCCATGCAGGTCCAGACTGGACGGCCCCCGCATCTCGTCCACCTCCTCGCCCTCCTCCTGCTATTCTTCCTGCTGTTCCTCCTGCTCCACACTCCTACACATTGTCCTCCCCACTCTTCCTCGTGCACCTCCCCCTCACCCGTCCTCATCCTCGTGGTTATTCTCATCCCCATGATCATCACATCATCATCATCATCATCATCATCATCACCACAACCACCATCAATATCATACAATCGTCAGCATCGTCATGATCACCATCACCATGACCATCACCAGCACCATCATCATCGTCATCTTCATCATCGTCGTCATCATCATCATCATCACCACCACCATCACAACCATTATAATTATCAGCCACAACAACATCATCATCAGCAGCAGCAACGGCATCCCTCCTCTTCTCTTCTTGCCCGTCCCCCACACCGAGAGAGAAAGCGAGAGAGGCACAGACAGAAAGACACACAGACAGGAGAGAAGGCACCAACAGCAGCGGTCCTTGCGTCGCGAATGATCTGCACGTCACGCACCTTCCCAGCGTTCGTCGAGAAGAACTCATACACGTCCCGCTCGTCAGCCTAGCGACCACTCCCCCCGCCATTGCCCCTCCTCCTCCTTCTCCTTCTCCATCTTTTCTTTATACATAACTCCTCCCTGTCGCACCCCGAGGCCAGGCGGAAGGGCGGGCTGGGCGTTTCGCCTGAGACTTCCTTATCATGTATGAGCCCGAAGCTTGAAAATTGGCAACAGTTTCACAAATGGAGGTGGTTGCCTGAACGCCGCGCACATGAGTTTTCAAAACTTGAAACAGCTTCACGGATTGAGGGCGTGTCGTTTTCAAAATATGGATCTCGCAATGGCGCCGCGCAAATTCGGCTCAAAAATGTGCAAGAAATTCACGGATTGAGGGCGGGGGGGATCAAGACGTGGTTCTCGCCTTAGCGCCGGGCACATTCGTTTTCACAAACGTGCAAGAGCATCAAGGATTGACGGCGGGTGGTTTTCAAAACGTTGCTCTCGCCTTAGGGCCACGCACATTCGTTAAAAAAAGTGCGAGAGTTTCACTAATTAAGGGCGGCTTGTTTTCAATATGTGGCTCTCGCCTTAGCTCTGCGCACATTCTTCCCTAAAACTTGAAAGGGTTCGGGTGGTTCTCATGGCTAACGTACCAGAAAACGTCATTTGGGAGCGATTCAAGATTGTCAGAGCGCATCAGTTACGTTGATTCGAGGTGTTGAACTCCCAAGAACGGTGCTCTGGCATGATTCTGGGCCAAGATGCAACAATCATATCAACCCGTGGCGTTGAAGTCCTGGGAATGGTGTTTGGGCACGCTTCAAGGACAATTCCGTCAGTGGAAATGAACCCTTGTAGGGGGCCTGTGAAGTGGGAGCTTGGAGGGCGGGTGGATCCCAACGTCGCTGATGAGTCTTGGGCTTACATTGGGCCCCTTCCTCCTCCCTCCTTCCTCCTGCTCCTCCTCCTCCTGCTCCTCCTCCTCCTCCTCCTACCCCCTCCTTCTCCTCCTCCTCCTCCTCCTCCTCCTCCTCCTCCTCCTCCTCCTCCTCCTCCTCCTCCTCCTCCTCCCCCCCCTCCTCCTCCTCCTCCTCGCCCCACCCCAGGGGGGGGAAAGGCTTCATCGAGGTCCGCCGCGTCGATCCGCGCTCCTCCCCCCGCTCGCCCCGCCGGCCCCCGCTTCTGCGGCCGGGGCCTTGTGGTGCAGGCAGACGATCATCACGGTGCGGTCTCCTCCTCCTCTCCTCCTCCTGCTCCTCCTGC